GGGTGACAGACATGGGACCCAGCACCCACCAACATGTCCTGAGCTTGGTAGGAGCTGTGCTTTGTGCTAGAAGAAGGGTCCTGGGGCAGCACGATGCCACTTCAGGCTGGAAAAGATATCCATGCCCTGGGGATGCTGCCATTACCCACAGGAAGTGATAAATGGGCAGGGGGTTGAGGGGGGTCACCTAGTCTGGTCAATAAGAAGAAATCCCCCACCATCACCACCTTCCCTCCCAGAGCTCTTGCCCACTGAAGCTCACCAAAGCCTGACATCCAGCCACGATGCACAGAGCCCGTGCTCCAGCAGCAGCAGGGGGTGAAGCCCTCATGCCCCCTCAAGAGGGCAGGTGTGTTGGGGTCACTGGGGAGCAACTGGGATGAGGTTTTAGTCTTCAACCAGGCAAGGCACAAGGAAGGTGACCAGGACTGGCTCCCAGCCCCGGGGTGAATCACAGCAAATGCTGACCCAAGGAAGCACACCCAAGGAAGAAAGTGATGGAAAACATGATGTGGCTCGTACAAGGCGTCACCACAGGACACACTGGGATGGTCTGAGCAACACAAAGGGACCATGAGCAAGGCCAGGTGAGCAGAACTGGGACATTCAAGCACAACTGTTGTATGAGACACTGGAGACAACTCTGCAGAGCAGCTCTGGTCAGAGGGGGGTGTATGCAGCACAGGGTTCATAGATGCTTGGAGAAGGATTAGGGTCTCTCTCCCTGAGCCTGTTGGTGTGGGGGGAAGCAAGATTACCGGTGCTGGAATAACAGTGCATCAGGCTGGTGCAATTAAGCTCGAGGAGAAAGCAGCTCTGAGCCACCCAAGGGTGCAGGGACAGGAGTGGGACCCCCACAAGCACCCATCACACCCATCACTCAGAGCACGAGGAGCCCTTGCTCTTCCCTCTCCATCTCCACAGGGGAGTGAGAAAGGGGTCAGCAATACCACAAAGCCCCCAAACGCCCCCACAACCTGCACTGCCACTCACACCCAAGAGTCCATCAGGCAGAGCTGCTGCTGCTGCCCATAAATGATTCACAAGCACGTTAAAGACCTCTCTCAAGGCTGGAGCTGCGTTAAAAGGTGCTCCTACAGTTATTAAGAGCTCTGGATAGGAAACTCGATTGGTGTAATTGCTCTGAGCATTGAGCCCCTGTGGGCTGCCCAGAACCTTCCCCCATCCTGCTCCCTTTTGAAGAGCTTTGGACCATTTTCCAGTCTCAAGTTTCAGATCTGGAGAGAAGCAGCCCAGCATAAACAGCTCTTGAAATGAAAAAATATTACTGGGGGAAGTAAAAAGGAAAAATATTCCATCTTCTCCCCACGTGTTCCAGCCCTGTTGCAATGGACTCAGTCAGCAAAACACACAGGGTTTCACTCTGAGTCTCCAGAGAGGCCCTCTGTGCTTCAGGGGGTATTTTAAGCTGCCTTTTCCCTCATCCCTGAGCCACATGGTCAGCATGGACACCCACAGGGGCTTAAGTCCCCATCTCTGTGATGGCTGGGGTGGGAAGATGGGGAGTACAGGTGCCCAGTGGGTGCTGGGATCCCTTCCAGTCCCTGAGGTGTGCAGGCAGCACACACCTCGCCCACGCTGCCATCAGAACATCCTCTCCCATTATTCTGCGTTCGGTACCAGGGACATTGGGCCGGCAAGCCGGTTTGCTGAGCCCGGGCTGGCTGGGAGCACGGCCTACGCGCCCGGGAGCGGAAGTGAAAGCGGTGCCGGGAGATATGGCGCGGCAGCGGGGGGGTCTGTGCTGGACCCGCCTGATATAGGGCAGAGCCTGTTCCCGCGGGCAGGGAGCGGGGCCGGGTGCAAGCTCAGCTGCTCTCACCATCGCACACGGCAGCCATCCCCCGGGCTGCCCTGCCGGGAGGGCTGGAGGGCTGGGAGGGCTGCAGTGCTGGGAGGGCTGGAGGGCTGGGAGTGCTGCAGTGCCGGGAGTGCGGTCCCGGACTCTCTGGCAGACCCGGGTGACGCCATCCGGTACTGGCATGGAGAGGGAAGGATTTGCCTGTGAAGTCTGGAAAGAGCCATGTGGAGGATTTCCCACGTCCTGGCCACAGCCCGTGTCCCACCCTCGTTAATTTTTACCAGTGCAACGACCCCCACCCACCCCAGCAGAGCGAGTGCCGGCACCCAAAGGCTTCCCAGCCCACAGCCCCAGTGAGCTGGGGTCCCTCTGTGCCACTGGCCACCCACCCCACACCTCCCCACTCCCATTCCCACCGTGACACACACCCTCACAGCAGAACAACCCAAAACAGGCGGCCCTGCACAAACCCACCCTCTGCTTCCCGCGGTGCAGACGCGCTGTTGGGGCGGTGGGTGCCGCTGGAGGGGCCTTGGCTGCGCAGGGGGACCCTCAGCCTGCTGGTCCTTTCTTCAGGCAGGAGCCCAAGCCAAGTGAGGAACGAGCACGTGGAGGCTTTGAGTCACCCCAACGGCTTCGGGAAGAGCAAAGGGCGAAAGTCTCCACCAGCAGCGAGGGAAGCGCGGTGGCTCCACCAGGGAACGTGCAGAGGGGTCGGCTGCTCCTCAGCAGCACTGTGGGCAGGGGCACAGCACCCTCCAGACCCAAGGAAAGCTCTTTTCCAGGATCTGCAAAGATCAACCCTACCAGGATTGATTTAACTTGGTTTTATCTAAGAACTGATTAATTACTCAGAACTACTCTGATTCCTCATTAGCTTGGCTTAAGCACAGAGTGCGCAGACGTGATGGTGCAAGTGCTTGAGGCCTGGTTGCACCTTCTGGAAGGGGCTGAGGGGTCCCAGGTTGGTATTCACCCAGGGGAAGGGGTGCCTACAGGCCTCTGCCTGCCACCCCCACACTGCAGGTCATTACTGAGTTCATTTTCACTTCCCTTCTTAAAGCAAAATTCTTGGTGTGAAAGGACAATGGGGATGGGGGGGACGTTTCTCCCTCTGGTTCCACTGCAAAACACTAATTTTGTCAGCAGCTCTTGGTGCCAGGGCTCAGCCTGGGCTTGCAGACTTCTCCAGTCCCCCACTCCTATCTTGGAGCACACTGAGCCACACAAAGCAGCACTGGACTGACAAAAACTCCCCTTACTTGCAGTGTCCCCTCGCTGGGAGCTCTGAGCATCCCCATGCCATGTGGGATGCAACAGTGGGAGGTGGTGCTTAGCCCTGCACAGGAATTCAGCTCATCCCAGGGACAAGATGATCCCTGGGCTGGCGGCAGGACGAGCCCCCTTGGCTGCAGCTCCCTATCTCTGGGAACAGACTCCTTATCTCAACACAGCCATTTCAAGGCTCGTACAATGTGCTGCTCGCCCTGCCTGCCCCCATGCAAAGGGGGAGCCCTGGGTGGACACCTGCAGCTTCCTTCGTTCCCCTTCCAGGGCCAGCAGTTCCCTTGCCTCCCCCCTTCCCCGACAACCCCTCCTGCCCATCACTCCCTCCTCCCAACCACCAGCAGCCGAACGTGGGTGGGTCACTCCTCAGCTTCCTTCCTTTCACTCCTGATTACCACCAGGCCAGAAGCACCCAGGTCTC